CCAGCCCTTCCCCCTACCCCGGGGAACTTTCCAGATGCTTGGAACCAGCTTTGTGGCTATTCATCAGGAAGGATGGCGCTGGATCCCAAGCTGACCCTGTCCAAGGCTGCGGCCCAGCAGCTGGACCCCAGAGAGCACCTGAACAAGGGCGGGCCCCACCTGACCCTCACACCACCCCCCGAAGGTAGCTGGCTCCCGAGCCACATGCAGCCTGCGAGTTTGTGGGGCCCTCAGTGCTCGGCGAGGCTCACGCTTGATGTGGCCTCAGAGCCTTTGCGCTGGAGCTACCGGTGGCGCCCCCGCTGTGGTGAGCCGTCACCTGGTGGGGGCTGCTCCTGGTTCCACACCCCAAGGTCATCCTGAGCAGCAGTCGGGGAGTTCCTGAGAGGAAGGGCAGCAGGGGGGTGGGACTCTCAGCCCTCCGCCCCAATGCCACTGAGCCGTGCTACTCCCACACCAGGGGACCCTGGCAGCCACCCACAGTGGGGGACCGGAGCACGCAGAGCAGGGAAGCAGGGCCAGCGCGCTGTGAGCGCCTACCTGGCGGATGCCCGCCAGGCCCTGGGGTCTGCAGGCTGTAGCCAGCTCCTGGCAGCGCTGAGAGCCTACAAGCAGGACGACGACCTGGACAAGGTGCTGGCCGTGCTGGCCGCCCTGACCACCGAGAGGCCTGAGGACTTCCCCCTGCTGCAGAGCAAGTGGCCCCGGGGTGCAGCTGGGGGCGCAGAGGGCGGTGGGCAGGGTGGGGCCGTGCAGGGTCTGAGCGAAGTCCCACGCAGGGTTCAGCATGTTCGTGCGTCCACACCACAAGCAGCACTTCTGGCAGACGTGCGCAGACCTGACTGGCTGGCCCCATGGGGGTACAGAGCTGCCGGGACCCCAGGACGAGAACCTTGCTACGCCTCCTGTGCTCGCTCATGGGACTCGCCGACCAGGTGGGGTGCCTGCTTGGCTGCTCCTGACAGCGCCCCAACCCCAGGCCACCCTGGGGGTGAGCAGCAACGCCCCAGGCACCCCTCAAACCAGCTGCTTTGCCTCCAGGCCCCTCATGGCCAGAGAAGGCCGGGAAGACGCAGAGCAAGATCTCGTCCTTCCTTAGACAGAGGCCGGCGGGGGCCGTGGAGGCGGACGGTTCGGCGGCAGGGCCCAGCCAGCCCTCCAGACCTCCCCACGGGCCTGCAGCGTCTGAGTGGGGTGAGCCTCATGGGAGAGGCCTCGCTGGGCGGCAGGCCGCGGGAGCTCCGGGAGGAGGGCCCCTCTCAGCGGGCTGTGTGTGTCGGGGCTGCAGGGCGGAGGACGTGGTGCCCTTCCGGTGCCCTGCCTGTGACTTCCAGCGCTGCCAGGCCTGCTGGCAACGGCACCTTCAGGTTGGTGCCCGGCTGCTGCAGTCCCTGCTGGGTGTGGCCTCAGGTGGTGGGCTGAGGGGGAGAGGGCCCAAGGGCGGTGCCTGGCAGGCACGTCCAGTAGGCCGGTTGTCTCCACAGGCCTCTAGAATGTGCCCAGCCTGCCACAACGCCTGCAGGAGGCAGAGCATCATGCAGGTCTTCTGGCCGGAGCCCCAGTGAGTGCCATGGAGGCCCTCGGCACGCCCGATGTGCCTTGATCACCTGCTTGTCTGGCTCCGGTGGGCCAGGAACCTGCCCTGCAGAACAGGCCCAGCCACGCCCGCCTGGGGGCCCAGGGTTGGTCCTGGACTTGCCTCTGAGAAGCCCTGAGCTACCTTGGGGTCTCGGGTGGGTTTCTGGGAAAGTGTTTCCCCAGAACTTTCCCTGGAAAGTGGAACTGGGAGCAGCCCCCACCAGGTGACGGCTCACCACAGTGGGGGCGCCACCGGTAGCTCCAGCTCAAAGGCTCTGAGGCCACATCAAGCGTGAGCCTCGCCGAGCACTGAGGGCCCCACAAACTCGCAGGCTGCAGTGGTACCCAAGGGGCATCCCAGCTGAGCCCCTGACCAGGAAGGAGACCCTTGTGGGCATGTGTCCACTTTTATTTGGGACGGGGCTCTCTAATAAAACTGCTGGCAGTGCCCAGGATGGTGTTTTCGTGGCTGGGGGTTGGTGGAGGGACTTGAGGGTGCACAGAGGAACAGGGAGTTGGCAGAGGTGCCTCCCAGCCCGCCCTGTGACACTGTACTTTCTCCACGGTGGGCTCAGCCCTGCCCTTGTCCTCACAGCTACAGCCAAGCTGCAGTTTGTGAGGGACCCACCAATACCCCGGGCCTTCTGGCCTGGCTGCTAGGTCAGGAGCTGCCCCAGGTGCTGAGGAGGGCGGTTCCGTGGCTGGCGAGGCCCCTGTCTGGGGAGGGATAGCGCCAGGTGGGTGAGGGGGCTGCCTCGGGAAGGAGGGGTCCCCATGGGGCATGACGAGGCCAGCCCCGCCCTCTACGCCCATATACGGCTGCAGCAGGACGGGCTTGGGAACTGGGGGAGGAGGGGGCATGCTAGTCAGGCACGGCAGGGTCTGGTGTCTGCACTGAGCCTCACTCTCCCTGCTCCAGCGAGGACCATGAGGGCACTGGAGGGGCCAGGCCTGTCCCTGCTGTGCTCGGCGTGGGCGCTGCCCACCCTGCTGTTGGTGATGGCCACGCGAGCAGCGGCAGAAGCACCCACCTACCCCCGGCGAGACCCGGAGACGGGAGAGTGGCTGGTGTGCGCCCAGTGCCCCCCAGGCACCTTTGTGCAGCACCCATGCCGCCGAGACAGCCCCACCGTGTGTGGCCCCTGCCCGCCGCGCCACTACACTCAGTTCTGGAACTACCTGGAGCGCTGCCGCTACTGTAACGTGCTCTGCGGGGAGCGAGAGGAGGAGGCGAGGCCCTGCCAAGCCACCCACAACCGCGTCTGCCGCTGCCGAGCTGGCTTCTTCGCGCACGCTGGTTTCTGCCTGGCACACACGCCCTGTCCACCTGGCGCCGGCGTGACTGCCCTGGGTGAGCTGGTGGCGGGGAGGTTCTGCCTCCGGGGAGTGGTGGCCGGAGGTGCGGCGGGTGGAGTTGCCGCTCCTAGGCTTGCACCGGGCGAGGACACCAGTTCCTCTGACCCTGTTCTACCCTCCTGGCCACAGGCACCCCCAGCCAGAACACACAGTGCCAGCCGTGCCCCCCAGGCACCTTCTCAGCTAGCAGTTCCAGCTCAGAGCAGTGCCAGCCCCACCGAAACTGCACAGCCCTGGGCCTGGCCCTCACTGTGCCAGGCTCCTCCTCCCACGACGCCCTATGCACCAGCTGTACCAGCTTCCCCCTCAATACCACGTTACCAGGTGGGCCGGGTGAGCCAGGTGAGCGGAGGACCTGCCAGCTGGGCTCTGGGAAGGGCCCAGGGCAGATTTAAGGGGACAGGGGTCCCTCCCTTGGATCCCCACCAAGGCGACCACCTGAGGGGTGGCTGAGGATTGGGGTCCCGGCTGGCGCAGTGTCTCCTCTGGGGAGCACTTGGAAGGTGGGAGGCACACTCCCCTAACTAACTGCTCCAGAGGAAGGGGGCTGCCTGCTCCGACATGGGGAAAACGAGGTCCAATGGCAACCACTGTTGAGAAGTCGAAGGGGGAAGTGACCCCCTTGAGGTCAAGACAGGTCCGGTCCATCTGGGGGTCCCAACTCGCCCCTCCCAGCCAGCCCCGCTCCTGCAAGCAGCTGCTCCCGCCCTCAGGCCTTTGCTCCGACTCTGACCGAAGGCCCCCAGTCCTGCGCCTCCCGGCACTGCCCTCTCCAGCACGGCTCCCCGCACAGGGATTTTCCTCCTGCAAACCCGCTGAGTGGGGCCCAGAGAGAAGGTACCCGGCAGGCCCCCACCAGCGTGTCTGGAAGTGACCGGGCCCTGCCTCCCCTCCCGCTGCAGGAACGTTGGAGTGCGAGCGCGCCCTCATCGACTTCGTGACTTTCCAGGACGTCTCCATCAAGAAGCTGCAGCGGCTGCAGCGGGCCCTCGAGGGCCTTGGGGACTGGGGTCCCACACCGAGGGCGGGCCGAGCGGCCTTGCGGCTGAAGCTGCAGCGGCGGCTCAAGGAGCTGCTGGAGGCGGGGGACGGGACGCTGCTGACGCGGCTGCTGCAGGCGCTGCGCGGGGCCAGACTGCCCGGGCTGGAGCGGAGTGTCCGTGAGCGCTTCCTCCCTGCACGCTGAGCCCGGCCCCTCACCCCCCGTATTTATTGTACATCCTTGGCCCCCACATGCACTAAAAAGAGGCTTAAAACTTTTTTTCTTAAAAAATTGGGTTTCTTAAATAGCCTTTCCGTAAAACTGGTTGTGGTCTGTTGTGCGGCCACTGGGACGCCCGAGCTGCCCGGATCCCGCGGGCTCCCACCACCACTGCTGCCGGGGGCTTCCCCTTCTGGGGTTGGTCAGTGGGCAGCACCCTCTCTGCTCCCTGCTGGCTGTGGCGTGTGGCAGGGTCCCCAAAACTCACGGGGGTCAGGACCTGGGAGTGTGTACCTGCTGGACGAACAGGGCAGGGCTCAGGCCGGGCCGTCATCAGGGCCCTGCACTAACCCCCTCACCCCCTTTGAATTCCTCCCACTCCCAACTCGGGGGATTTCCCGAGAGGAGACCTGCCAGAGACCACCCCCAGGCACCCCATGCGCTTCCTGGGTAGTGAGGCTTTCCCCCTCGGGGCAGGCTCTGAAGCCTCCAGAAACATCCAAGCAGCTGGGGCCTGCCTCGGCCACCCGCCCCTCCCCGCACGGTCAGACATCCCTGTGGCTGGAGGCCCTCTCACAGGTCCTGGGAACCGACCTTCGGGACACACACAGCCCCCCCCGGAGAGGGTGCAGGGACTTCCAGGCCTGACTCCTGTGAGTCACGGCCACCCCCACCCTGACTCATGTCCCTTCCCAGAAGCTCCTCCCAGGCCCCCCACGCCCCACATCCGCAGGAAGGGACAGGCCATGGCTCTGGGCCCACCTGGGGAATCCCTCACTTGCCCTCAGCAGCCCAGGGCCACCCCCAGTGCATCTGACAGCCAAGAGCTGAGCCTCGGGCCTCCAGAAGGGAAGGGATGGACAGAGCCAGTCTCGCCATCTTTATTTTGCGCTCACCCTGGACAGCACTGGGCAGGCAGCTCCTGCCCACAGCCGCACTGGGGAAGAGCAGAGCACTCAGCAGGCTCCGTGGGGGCTGTGCAGGGAGGGCCCCAGGACCAGCCTCACCCCCAAACGGGACACAGGCCCAGCACAGCACTGATTCGGGGCCCCCCCGAGAACCCCCCAGCCCACGCCAAGGGGGCCCAGGGCACAGCCTCACCTGGCTAGAGGGCTCTGGACCCCATAAACACTCCCCAAACGTGCAGGTGTGGGGCACAAAACAGCCACTCCCAGCAGGACCCCTCAGCTGTTTGCATCAGTAAGGTCCCTCCAGGGGGTAAGACGAGGGGAAGCCAGGCAGGCCTCCTCAGCGCCGTCCCGAGGCTGCATCTGAACCCAGGGCCCCACTGGCCTTCGGGGACATGGCCTGGGTCTTCCTCAAGGCAAGTTCAGCCCCAGACCACCTCTCGGGTCACAGGGGGCAGAAGCCGAGGGCAGCCATGGCCTCACCGACCTCCTCCTTGATGGGCTGGACAGGTAGCTACAGGATCTCCCAAAGGCCCCCCAGAGCTGTCCCCACACAGCCCAAGCCAGCCTAAGCACTGGAGCCCCAACTCTCAACCAGGTCTCCCTCAGACCCCCCAGAATGGGCCTAGGCGGGCAGCAGCTGCACCCCGTGGAAGGGCCGCCAGAGGGCCTGGGTGAGCCAGGCTGCCCGGCTCCCCACTGAAGCCTCCGCTTCTCCAGACGCAGAGGAAAGTTTGTCTTCAAGAAAACAAAGCAACAGAGGAACCCCAAAGCAAAGTAAACCCACCCCCCAGATGAGCAGCACGGGAGCCAACAGGAACCACTCCTCCAGCACCGGGGACCAGGGACCGGCGTCCCCACGGCAGGCAGGCGGCAGGCGGCGCCTACGTGATGTCCCTCTGCCGGGGCGGCCGGTGCAGGTTCCGCACGACGCACTTCACCATCCACTCGATGCCCTCGCGCACCCCCTTGCTGCGAAGACAGGGCCGTGAGGGGGCTGGCCTCGGCCCCCAAACCCCCGAAGGCGCAGCCCACTCACCCCGTGAGGGCGGAGCAGGCCTGGGTCAGGCAGTCCCGCCTGCCAATCTTGCCCGTGCAGTCGCTGAAGGCCGTCTTGATGTCAGGGATGGAGAGGCTCGTCTGGGGGAGGCGAAGCCAAGGCCGTAAGGGGCAGACCCCACGTCGAGGCCCTGTCCTGCCGGTGGGCCCGGGGCTCTCCGAAGAGCGGCTGCCCTTCACCCCAGGAAACAGGAGTCCGCCAGGTCCCAGTGTCTCCCACAGAGGCCACGGCGGTGAGGACCCTGTGCTCAGCCCACGGCTGCTGCTGCCTGGGACAAACTCCAGACGTGCTCCACGGCCCCAAGGAGCCCGCTCCCATCCCCTCCCTGCGGGACACCCTGAGCCCTGAGGTGGTGATCTGAGGGCTGAGGCCTGGGCAGTGCAGGGGGCGGGGGTGACAAAGGGGACACGGGGCAGTCAAGTCTCGCTGGCTTCTGCTTGCGGCCACCTGCCCAGTCCTCAGAGAGTCCTCCCCTCCCCTCTCCTCCAAGGAGAGAACCCTGCCCCGTACCAGGTGTCCCTCTTGTTAGCTGAGATTGTGGGGAAGGCCAGCCCTACAGGAGGGGGCAACAGAGCCCCCCCAGCGAAGGTGGGAAGTGAAGATACACCCTGACCCTCAGGATGCCAGGCTCCTTTAAGAGGACAGGAAAAACTCAGTGTGGCCAGTGCTCCCAGGGGCAGTGGTACCTCAGAGGGGTTTTGAGGGGCTGCCCTGGGGGCTGGGGCTGGCACAGATGCCAGGTGAAAACAGGTGAGGGTCAGAGTTCACTCCCACCGGGGCCCCAGTATCCCTTCTCTGAGCTCCAAGTTTCACCGGAGTCTCTTGACAGCTCAGCCACACACTCCTGAGGCACAGCCATCCTCCAGGGGAGAAGGTCCTGGGCCTCCTCACAGCTCAGACACGCGCTCCTGAGGACACGCTCCCGAGGACACGCTCCCGAGGACACGCGCTCCCGAGGACACGCTCCCGAGGACACGCGCTCCTGAGGACACGCGCTCCTGAGGCACGGCAGTCCTCCGGGGAGAGGGCCCTCGTGGCAGGAACAGGCCTCTGAGCGGCTGCCCTGGGGTGGAAGAACCAGGGCTGGCGGCAGGACACAGAGAGGAACTAGCTGGGGAGCTGAGGTCCCAGGTCTGCCAGAGGCAGGTGGGCCTTGAGAAGAGCTCAGTGCCCGCCGGGCAGTCACTGGGGCTGGGGTGTCGAGGTGCACACACTGCTCCCCTTGCGGGGGGGCACCTGCGCCCCCAGGAGCCTGGGGACTTGGGAAGCTGCCGCGGGAGGCGGGGTGGGACTCACCTCCACATCCTGCTTGTTGGCCAGCACCAAGACGGGGACACCACACAGCGCCTCACTGGTCACCACCTTTTCTGGGGAGGGTAGGAGCAGCAGCACCTCACACCCAGCACAGGAGCCCACAGGCGCGGACGCCGAGTCAGCTGCTTCCCCCCGGCCCCCCACTGAGCAGGAGGCTTCTGACCTGTCACTGGGCCGGCCCCAGGCAGAGCTGCCCCGGCTGGATCTGCCCGTGCTGCCCATCCACCCCTCCGCAAGCAGCCGGGCCACTCACCGAACGCCTGCTTGGACTCTGCCAGCCTCTCCTCGTCGGTGGAGTCAATGACGTAGATGACACCGTGACACTCTGCGTAATACTACAAACAGCAGGAGTTGGGGCTCAGTCCCCACCCTGCCAAGGGCCAGCAGGGCCAGGCCCATGCCACCGCCACTGGGAGGCGCTCACTCGAGGAAGGGGCCGGAGAGCAGCCCTCAACTGCAAGGCTCTTCTGGGATGCCTTCCAGGGCTGCAGGGAGATCTGGGAGTGGAGATGCCCCCAGGCGCTCCTCCTGAGAACCTGCCTGCAACCTTTCACCTGACGGTGGCCGGAGAAAAAAGTGAGAGGCGGGGATGGGGCCATACGTGGGGGCTCAACCTGTTACCCCAACACTTTGGGAGGAAGATCACGTGAGCCTAGGAGTTCAAGGCCAACCTGGGCAACAATGAGACCTCCTCTCTACAAAAGTTTATGGTAGATAAGCTTTCAGTCCTAGCTACTCAAGAGTTTGAGGTGAGAGGACGGCTTCAGCCTGGGAGGTTGAGGCTGTAGTGAGTTCTGATCATGCCACTGCATTCCAAGCTGGGTGAGAATGAGGCCCCATCGCAAAAAAAAAAAAAAAAAACAGGGGGCGGGGACAGAGTTTGGGGGCGTGCACCTGTGGGGCAGGGAGGGAGTGTGGCCACGTGGATGACAAGCCTGACCAGCGCCACTGAGGAGCCACTGAGGGACGGGACCAGCACTGTCTGCGAAGCGAGCACTCCCTGCCAGGCCAGGGCCAGCGTCACTGCGCTCAGACCTCCGCAGGCGAGGCATGGTCAGTCCTGGGCTCACTGGTGGCACTGCTGGGCAAGATGGGGCATAGACCCTGCAGCCTGAGGCATGAGTTCCAAGCCCCGGACCAGGTGAGTCCATCTCTCTCCCAACCAGAAAGAATACGGGAGACTGCATCCACTGGAGCAGACAACGGCTCACATGTGCCACTCTGCCTCCAGGCCGTGCCAGCTTTCCTGCCCAGGGACCGGGACTGGATGCTGACCAGGTAGGACAAGCTGGCAGTCAGTGTTAAGACACCCCACTGGGCCGGGCGCGGTGGCTCAAGCCTGTAATCCCAGCACTTTGGGAGGCCGAGGCGGGTGGATCACAAGGTCAAGAGATCGAGACCATCCTGGTCAACATGGTGAAACCCCGTCTCTACTAAAAATACAAAAAATTAGCTGGGCCTGGTGGCTCGTGCCTGTAATTCCAGCTACTCAGGAGGCTGAGGCAGGAGAATTGCCTGAACCCAGGAGGCAGAGGTTGCGGTGAGCCGAGATCACGCCATTGCACTCCAGCCCGGGTGACGAGTGAAACTCCGTCTCAAAAAAAAAAAAAAAAAAAAAAAGACACCCCACTGAGAGTGTGAGAACCCAAAAGGCACAGCCCAACCCTCGGAAATCCTCATTCCTCCCAAGCAGGGAGAGCCAGACGAGCTTCTGCACTGACACTTCCCACGGTGGAAGGAAGGAAGCCCGAGGCCAGGCGTCCTCCAGGGTTCTACAGACAGGTCCCACAGAGGCCGCTCCAGGTGGACCTAGGGTGGAGACCGCTGCGGCAGGAGGGTTGGCTCCGTGGAGGCTGCAAAAGCCCAGTGAGAGAATCCCCACGGCCATGTGGCCCCCGGGGCTTCTACGCAGGGTGGCAGAAGGTTCCCGTGCAACCAGGGTCCAGGACCGTGGGACCACATGGCCAGAGCCGCCCATCACACCTACCAGGCACAGGGTGCACAGCCCAGCAGCGCTGAGTGCCGGCAGGACCCAAAGCCCCAGGCCCAGCAGAGGCGTCACAGCAGTGGTCCCCGTGGAGTACCCCACAACCAGGGGAAGAGGAAGATGTCCAGGCGTGGCTCCTGGCTGGCCAGCTGATGAGTGGGGGCAGGCCAGAGGTGGGCAGCAGCTGTACTGGCCTCTAAGGCAAGCCCTCAGGCACCAGAGGCCAGGGCACAACCTCACATGGATGGAGCACCAGGCCGCCCGGCCCGTCCTGCTTCCATGGGAAGTCATGGCCCGAGGCTGGCTCGAGGGCAGGCCTGTGTGCAGCAGAGTGGGCACCGGAAGCCGGGAGTGGGCATCTCAAGGCCTCCCAGAGCACCCGCCAGAACCTCTCGGCTGGATGATGGACACACAGGTGGGGTACAAGCCCAGTGGGATGGGCTCCACTCACGAAGCGTGGAGAAACGACTGGCAAAGGCCCAGCAGACACGAGCAGCACAGCTGACCCCAGTGGGGCAATCGGAGGGACTGGGGAGCTGAGTTTGGGAGCTCCCCACCTGCAAAGTGCCAGCTGGCCTGAGACAGGCATTACAGCAAAGGACCCACACACGGACGCTGACCCAGGGTCCAGCCCCAGGATGAGGCCAACTCCCAGTCAGGGCCCTTACAGTGCCTGCTTCATTCTGGCAAGGCTGCACCTGCACAAGGATGCAATGTCAGGAACCAGGTGGAAGCGGGAGCCTCCCTTCCGGCCTCTCCCCGTGACCCATGGGGGTCTCTGTTGCAGACCCTCCCGGCTCCGAGCTCAGCAGGGTCAGGGGTCCCAACCACTAGAGCAGCACGAACAAACCACAGCTGCCTCAAGGGCATGAACTGCACCTTGTGTCTAGGGGACCCTGGTGGGCAGGAGACTGGGCTGCCACCCCACAGCTGGGGACACAGGGAGCCACTGGCTCCACGGAGATGGTGTCTGGAGAAGGACTCAGACTGCCAGGAGGTCACACCCCAGCAGAAGTGCACTGGGGGGGGCACTCAAGGAGGAACGCAGCCCCAAGACCAGTTGCAAGGGTGGGCTGCAGTGGCCCCCGGAAGCCTCCCTCCTCCAGCTTCCCCTCAACAGAGGCCCTCGGGACCTTGGAGGAACCACTCCCCAACGCGGAAGGTGGTCCACACAGGGCTGCGCCTGCGGCCAGTGCCGGGGTCCGCAGCCCCACTGGTCTTACTTCATGCTGGAAACACTGCACCTGCAGATGGCCTCGTTTTAGGTTTCTGTGGGACCCACTTTGACTGCAAAGAGCCATGTTGCCAGGTCACACCTGCCTAGGGCAGCCCACAGGCTGTGGTGTGAAGTCCCAGCCACGGCCCCACGTGGCAGAACGGCCAGCTTGCCTCCAGGCAACCACAGCTCCACAGATCCTGCCGCTGGAGTGGACCTCTCCTCCTCGTCCCCGCCACCTTCCAACTGCCAACCCCCAACGTGCAACCTGTACCTCAGCCTCTGTCTTGGCTCGTGCCTGCGACACGAGCTTGTGGCAAGAGCACCCTCACCTGTCTCACCGCCCAAGCGCGCTGGGCACTGGACACGCAGGCTATGACCAGCTTGTCCTGTGTGACTTACGTGGCCCTAGAGGATCTATCAAAGGTCACTTGGCTATGAGAGAAACGCTCTCTTGGCTGGAAGTCAGGGCAGGACGGGGCCCTTCGGTGGGGCTTAGGAAAGGGGGATCACAAAGGAGATCAGGACCAGGGCACTCGGCTCTAGAGACGGCAGCCAGCAAGCATCAGGGCGGCCAAGGCACTGGGCGCCCCAAGCCCACTGTGCCAGCCTCAGGCAGGGAGCCCCTGCGGAAGGCAAGGCTGTGTCGTGGGTGCTCAGCACAGGCTGAGGCGGGAGACAAACAGCCTGGGGGGTGTGGAGGAGGAACAGCACACCAGGGTCTCAGAAATGCCCAATTTTGACATGCTCAGCTGACACGCTGAGTGACAAACCACGTTACCCACAAAGTGGGTGACGAAAGGTGCCGAGGAAGAGACCAGAGGGTGCACTCTGGAAAGAAATGGACTGGAGGGCTGGGGCGGGGTGGTGCTGGCCAGGGAGCCTTACCTTGTCCCACAATGACTGCAGCTCTTCCTGGCCTCCTAAGTCCCAGAACATGAGGCGAGCCTTTCCCACGTCCACGGTGCCGACTGGGGACAGGGAGGAACAGGCAGGGATCCCAACCTTGGTCCCCGACACACCGAGTCCCAGCTCTCTTGGGGGGTGGAGCAACCACTCCGGGGCCCGTCACAGGGGACTTGAGAGGGGCTGACACGGCTCTGGCCACCTGCCAGATGGCCGGTGAACATCACAGCATCCTCAAGGTCCCAAACCCACAGCCCTGCTATTCAGACCCCTTACTGTTGAGACCCACGGTGGTGGTGATTTTGGATAGACTCATCCCCTTGTAGTTCTTGTTAAACCGGGTTTTCGACTGCTCCAGAAAGGTCTGAGGAGAGAGGGAGGCAGACACGTACAATAGGCCTGCTCCTTAAAAGAGAAAAAACAAACAGAGCGACATTCTGCTCTTCGAGAGGCTGGCGGTGGCTGTCCCGTCTTCGCAGAAGTCTGGATTCTGTCTGGGTGGTGAGCGCGCAGGGGAGGGGCGCTCACCGTCTTCCCGGCGTTGTCCAGGCCCAGGATCAGGATGCAGTACTCGTCCTTCTGAAAGATGTACTTGTACAGGCCGGACAGCAGCGTGAACATCCTGCCCTGGACACCCCGACAGACGTCACTGTGCGGCCAGAACGCACCTCCCCGCCGCGCGTCCAGCTGACCGCTCGGGACCAGAACCCGGCGCCGTGCCCGCGTCCTCACCTCTCTCCCGCCCCTTCCCTCTGGGAGACTCTCCTGCCTCCGTCACGTCTCCCACATCCGCCGCCCTCCGTCCCTGCGGGCCCGGCGCCTCCCTGCCCGCGGGACCACCCTGCCCGTTCACACGCGCTCGGCCGCGCCCCGCCCTCCCCGGCGCGGCTCCCACGCTTCGCGCGCGCGGCACGGCGAACGCACTTGCTGCGGCCCCGCCTGGGCACAGCGCCCTCGGGCGTTCGGCCGCGCGCCCCACCGGTAGCAGCCCGGAGCCCCCGCGGGCGCCGGCGGGGGCGCCCCGGCACCCCGTTTCTTAAAACCGGGACGGCCTGCGGGGAGCGGACCCGCAGGCAGCGCGCGGCGGGCGGGGACGGACTCCGCGGAAGAGGAACCGCGGTCGGGGCCCGAGCTCCGGCGGCTGCCCGCCGCGGCCGCCAGGTTCGACGCTCGCCGACAAGCGGCCACACCCGGCTCCTGCCACACCCGCGCCCCAACCTCGAGCCCAGGGCCGCCCCTCGGGCCTCGGGACCCCGCGCAGCCGGCGACCCACCTGCGTCCGCCGCGGCCTCTAAGCCGCCGCCGCTGACCCCGCACCGACCCCGCGCGGGGCCTGACGGGACGCGGGCCGGCCTCGGGGCAGGAGCTGAATCGCGTCCCGGCGGCCTCTGCGCTCCGCTTCCCGGCTGCCACCGCGCGCCAGGCACTTCCGGAGGCGGCGGCGCCGAGAGGAAGTGCCGGGCGGCGGCGAGGGCCAAAGGGGGCGCCGGGCCGCTCTAGCCGGTGAGGCCGGCGGGCTCTCTATGGCGGCGGCCGGGGAACCGCGCGGAGGAGGTGCCCGGCCCGGGGCGAGGGGGCGGCGGTTTGCGGAGACGCGGCCCCGGCGGGACGGGAGAGAGGCCGGGCGGGGGGCGGGACCGGCCTGCAAGGCTGCGGGCGCGGCGGGTGCGCTCGGCGGAGGGCCCGGCGGGGTCGCCCTGCGGGGAGGCGGGGACGCGAGACCCGGCTGGCAGCGAGCCCGGGGCGGCTCGGGAGGGAAGCGCGGAGCCCGAGCGGGGGTACCCGGGCTGCGACCTCCGCTCGGAGCCGGTGTCTCCGCGAGGGGACGCCGTGCCCGTGCCGGGGGGAGTCATCTCAGCGCTCCGGGAGGTTACACCCGTGCCCGCCGCGGGCTGTGGCGGCGGCTGCGGGACCCTCGCTCCGCGTCGGGCCCGAGACGCGGGGCTCACCGGGCTCCCCTTCCCGCAGCTCGGGTCCCGCGCCTGCCTCGCTCAGCATGGACGAGGACAGCCTGGAGGCCGCGCTGCAGACCTACCGTGCGCAGCTGCAGCAGGTGGAGCGGGCCCTGGGCGCCGGCCGCGCGTCGTCCGAGCAGGCCGACCTGCGCCAGCTGCAGGGGGACCTGAAGGAGCTCATCGAGCTCACCGAGGCCAGCCTGGTGTCCGTGAGGAAGAGCAAGCTGCTGGCCGCGCTGGACGGAGAGCGCCCGGGCCAGGAGGATGCGGAGTACCAGGCTTTCCGGGAGGCCGTCGCCGAGGCGGCGGAGGCACCGGCAGCCCCTGGGGCCGGATCAGAGACCGTCCCTAAAGCAGAAGCGGGGCCAGAATCCGAGGCACGGGGGCAGGAAGAGGGAGAGGAGGAGGAAGAGCTGAGTGGGACCAAGGTGAGCGCGCCCTACTACAGCTCGTGGGGCACCCTGGAGTATCACAACGCCATGGTGGTGGGCACAGAAGAGGCGGAGGATGGCTCGGCGGGTGTCCGTGTGCTCTACCTGTACCCCACTCACAAGTCCCTGAAGCCCTGCCCGTTCTTCCTGGAGGGAAAGTGTCGCTTCAAGGAGAACTGCAGGTAAAGCCCTTTGCTGTCAGATGGCACCCTCGAGGCTCACGGGCGCGCACGCAGGGTCGGGTCACCATCGGCTCTCCCTCTGCAGTTGGTCTCAGCTTCCTGGGGCAGGCGGGCTGTAACAGCAATGTCCTTGTTTAGGCATCTACCTCTTTCTTCTGGGATAAAAGCAGGAAGCACGGAAGGAGGCGAAGCGCAGTGGCCCGCACCTGTAATCTTAGCACTTTGGGAGGCCCGGGGTGGAGGTGGGGTCGGGGGGAATCACCTGAGGTCAGGAGTTAGAGACCAGTCTGGTCAACATGGTGAAACCCCGTCTCTACTAAAAATCCAAAAAAATTAGCTGGGCATGGTGGCGCGTGCCTGTAGTCCCAGCTGCTCCGGAGGCTGAGGCAGGAGAATCGCTTGAATCCAGGAAGTGGAGGTTGCGGTGAGCCGAGATCACGCCATTGCACTCCAGCCTGGTGACATAGACTTTGTCTCAAAAAAAACAAACAAACAAAAAAAAAAAACCGGGCGTGGTGGGTGGCAGGCACCTGTGGTCCTAGTGACTCAGGAGGCTGAAGCAGGAGAATCGGTTGAACCCAGGAGGCTAAGGTTGTAGTGAGCCAAAATCCGGCCACTGTACTCCAGCCTGGGCAACAGAGTGAGGCTTCTGTGGAAGATAATAGGTCCACAACCTATTGTCACTTTGCCTTATTTGTTTTTTTGAGACAGGGTCTTACTTTGTCACCCAGGCTGGAGTGCAGCCTGGACTTCCTGGGCTCGATGGATCGTCCTGCCTCAGTCCCCCACGTAGCTGGACTACAGAAGCACACTGCCACACCCAGCTAATTTCTGTATTTGTGGTAGAGGTGGGGTTTTGCCGTGTTGCCCAGGCTGGTCGCACACTCCTGAGCTTAAGTGATCCACCCTCTCTGGCCTCCCGAAGTGCTGGGGTCACAGGCGTGAGCTACTGCACCTGGCCCTGTTGTCAGTTTTATCTCTAGAATTCAACTTTTAAAATTTACTTTAATGGAAATTTGGAAACCCGCCCCAGGTGCGAGAGCCTGGCGTAATCACTGCCCACGGTCCATTATCATTTGCCAGTCTTGCTTTGTCTGTTCCCCTGCCCCACTTTTTCCCTTCCTAGGTATTTTAAAGCAAATTTCAGAAGGTATTGGGTTTTTCCAACTATGAATACTTTGGAGTGGATCTCTGATAAGGAAATTACTTTAAAAAGCAACTTTTTGGAAGTCCAAGTCAGTATGAAGACAAGAGTCACTTCCGCATCATTGTAGATAACACGTTCCATGGCAGCACCTCTTCCGTGTTCAAATATCCACAGCTATCACCGTGATGTCTCCGTTTCCATAAGCACATTTTTGCTCCTTTTTACTTTTCTCTGAGGAGAAATATTTACCAAGCTTTCTAGTAGGTAATTTTCTTTTTTAGCCAATGGTTCAGGCTGACCAGGTAACACCCCTGGCTCTTTGGATGTCTTACTTTGTGGGCTGTCTTTGTTGTTTTTTTTTAAACAGGGTGTTGCTGCTCCGTCACCCAGGCTGGAGTACAGTGGCACAATCTCAGCTCATTGCAGTCTCTGCTTCACTAGCTCCAGCCATCCTCCCACTTCAGCCTCTCTGATAGCTGATCCTACAGGCGCGCACTGCCATGCCCAGCTGATTTTGGTGTTTTTTGCAGAGACAGGGTTTCAGCATGTTGCCCAGGCCGGTCTCAAACTCTCGATCCCCTCCTAAGAGATCTGACACGTCCCTGCGGCGCTCCCTTGGGCCCGGCACTGCTCCAGGAGTTCCACACGTATTCATTCATCTGTACAGCAGCCCCGTAGGTAGGCCCTGCAGTCACACCGTTTGACAGCAGTTAAAGAACTGAGAGAGCGGCCCAAGGCTGTGAGGCCCCGAGGGCTCCGAGCTGTCCTCAGCCCTCGTCCCATTCCCCTCTCCATGGTGCTGCTTGTGTCAGCGTCAGGCCTCATCTGAAGGCTTCTGAAGCGTCTGCCCACCTTGCCAGCACTCGGGACTGATAAGGTCTCTTGGGTTTGCCTTGGGCTCTTTTTTTTTTTTTTTTTTCTTTTCTGGCTCTTGTTGCCCAGGCTACACTGTGATGGCACGATCTTGGCTCACTGCAGCCTTCACCTCCTGGGTTCGAGGGATTCTCCTGCATCAGCTTCTTGAGTAGCTGGGATTACAGGCATGTGCCACCACACCCGGTTAAGTTTTGTGCCTTTAGCGGAGACAGGGTTTCACCATGTTGGCCAGGCTGGTCTCAAACTCCTGACCTCAGATGATCCACCTGCCTCGGCCTCCCAAAGTGCTGAGATTATAGGCATGAGCCACCGTGCCCAGCCAGCGTTGGACTTTTTAAAATCAATAAGAGGCTGGGCGCGGTGTCTCACACCTATAATCCCAGCACTTTGGGAGGCTGAGGCAGATGGATCACTTGAGCCCAGGAGTTTGAGACCAACTTGGGTAACATGGTGAGACTCCATCTCTACTAAAAATACAAAATTAGTCAGGCATGGTGGTATGCACCTGTAGTCCCAGCTACTCGGGAGGCTGAGGTTGGGGGATCACTTGCACCTAGGAGTTCAAGAGCGGTCTGAGCATCTTGGCAAAACTCCATCTTTATAAAAAATAAAAAATTACCCAGGTGTAGTGACACGTACTTGACTAATTTTAGTCCCAGCTATTTGGGAGGTTGAGGTGGGAGGGTCACTTGAGCCCAGGAGTTTGAGGCTACGAGTCGTGACCATGTCACTGCACTGCAGTGTGGGAGACAGAGTGAGACCCTGTCTCAAAAAATAAAAAATAGCGAGGCGTGGTGCCCTGTGCCTGTGGTCTTAACTACTCCGAAGGATCACTTGAGCCAAGAGTTCAAGGCTACAGTGAGCTGAGATTGCGCCACCACACTCCCGCCTGGGTGACAGAGACCCTGTCTCAGCAAAAAATACAATAAAAGGCTGAATGTGGTGGCTCACACCTGCCATCCCAGCACTTTGAAAGACAGGCAGGTGGATCACCTGAGGTCGGGAGTTTCAGATCAGCCTGGCCAACATGGTGAAACCCTGTCTCTACTAAAAATACAAAAAGTTAGCTTGGCATGGTGGTGCACGAACCTAGTGAGGTGTGATTCTCCTGGCTCTGCTGAAGGAGGAGAATCATTTGAAACCGGGAGGCGGAGGTCGCAGTGAACCGAGATCACACCACTGCACTCCAGCCTGGACAACAGAGCGAGACTCTGTCTCAAAAAAAGAAAAGAAAAAAATACGATAAATAGTACAGGTAATGTTGAAGTGGCCTTGACACGACCCCTCCTCTCCGCTCTCATTCTCTTCGCCTTCCTGAGAGGCTGTTGTTACCACAGCTTTGATGTTCTTTCTTTCCAGCATACAGGCACATGTCCTTTCACAGGAACACAGGTGATTTCGTCATTGTCTGAATGCTGTAGAGTACACTTACACATCTGGACGGCAGAGTCCCCCGCACACCTGGGTGGCGTGGAGTCTGTAGCCCCTCCCCCCGCACACCTGGGCTGTGTGAAATCCGTTCTTGGCCGCAAACCAGCACACTGAACTAAACATGCAGATGTAAACTGCGGTAAATATCTGTCTAAACAGAAAAAAATGCAGTGAAAATATGGTATAGAAAGATGTCAAATGGCACCCTTGTATAGAACACGTATCCTAATTGGAGTTTGCGGGACTGGAAGGGGCTTGGGGTGAGTCAGGGAGTGAAGGTGAAGGCGTGAGCCATTACCAGACGCCACAGTAGACGTCATCAGCACTGCACTCGGCACGTTGAATGCCCAGTGAAAGAATCGCGCCGTGACGTCACTAGGCGCTGGGGACTCGTCAG